GCAATGAGACAGTTTCAAAACAGATTAGTAGGACAGTTACAATAATTAATACACTGCATATTGTTGTCCTTGTAGTAGTTATTCATAGTATAAGATGCAGACATGATATCCTGTCCAAACCCTATTAGTACAATTCTTTCTTCTCATTTAATTAAGAGAAAGTAGCTGTATATCTATCCTAACTATTTTGCTTTACATATACAAAATGGTCCTTCATTTATATCCCCTTTTTTTGTTTACTTTTGTCAGAGATGGGTATTCCATTGCCATTCAAATATTGTAGGTGCGTGAATTCAGCAAAATAATCCAATATAGTCCAGTAGTCTATAATAGTACTGGATTATCTGTAGGACTGGGAATGTCAGAAATTGTTGATTTGAGACTCTTACAGCTCAGCATATTAATATGGCTTTACTTTTTGTACCTTGTTTTTATACTTTTCTGCTGGATGGTTAAGACCAAGATAAAGCAAGACCTGTATAACAAGAAATGTAACTTCTGTATCTGACAAGGTCAGTCAAATCCCCTCAGGATTTACCCTGAAACCCTGTACCGCAGTTTGTAGAGTCTTTGTCAGCGTCAGCCATGTGGATGAGTCATGGCCATTGCTTGACCAGTTTGCTCTCTGTGAAAGCCTGAGAGAATGTTTTCTCTCCATGTGACTATGCTTAGGCACACTATTGTCGATCACTTCCTATGATATATTTTAAAACTTAAAATTTACTACTCTCCACTTGATCAAATTATGTTTCCAGCTGTCTCTTTATTTCACTCTCTTAAGTTTCCTAGATAGAAAAATGACATTACATTCAAATAGTATATCATTTTTTCACCACATATTATTTTTTCATAAAACTTAACATTCTCCAGTTAAAGAGAGAGGTCCTCCAAAAATGTATGTTGTAGTTTTCCACAGCTACCCAAATCCCAGCATCTGTGTCACTAATGTTAGGAGAATCATTAAGGAATGGTTCATAATTTCAGTCATTCTTCTCTTGAATACCTGCCACTCCTTTCTGACCATAAAGCCATTTATCTGCTATTTTAAAATTTGCAGTTCCCCCGCCATGGGGAGAAATAACTATTGGTAATGATCTCAACCCCATGCCATTAAAATAAGCCTTTGCCCAGGTGGCTTGAACATTATAAAAGTTAAGCCTGGGCATCTCTGCCACACTTTCTGCAATGCTTCTACCTTCCTTCTCTCCCTTTGCCTCCAGCCCTGTGCGGTTCTAGCTCGCCTTTCTTCCTCCTTCATCTCCCATGGGCAGGCCTGACCACACCCATCTGTGACTGCCTGGCTCAAAAGCTTTTGCCCTCTGCTCACTCTTAGTCCCCTGTCCTAGATAGAACTGGCTCTCCAAGTCCAGCCCTTTTTTTTTTTTTTTTGGAGGTTATATCACATATTTTTATTATCAAATCTGTTGCTCAGATTAACAGATAGTTTTGCAAGATTGGATAAGTAATTGAACAGTAACACTTGCTCTCAATAAACCTTAATAATTTTTTCTTGACTTTTATGCTTTATTATTTTTTATTTTCCATAATTTTATTGATAAACACATAGAAATGAGACAGTTTCAAATCAAATTGGTAGGACGGTTTCAATAATTAACACATTGCATACATTCCTCCCAGTGGTTAATTGCTGTACAAGATGTGGACATGATATCCTATCTACAAACACCATTAGAACAAACCACTCTATCCAGCTCTTGTACTTGATGCATCCTATCACATACTGGCCTGTACTCTTCTGGGCCTATACCAGGCCTCATTGGGAATGAGCTCAAGAACTAAAAAATATTCGGTGCAGAGAACACCATAAAGACAAGATAGCCATGCACGGTACAGAATTTAGCCGTCAGGCAGCCTTCTGTCCAGCAGTCCTAGAGGGAAGCCAGGGAAGCACTGACCTCTGGTTGGTGGGGTACAGCTCCACTGTGATCACATCCAGAGCATTCCAGGCTGCAATGCTGGTCCCGCAGAACAGGCACTGCCAACCAATCATCGCAGACTCGCTGTTGCCAAAAAACAGGAAGAAGCAGCAGACTGCCGAGATCAACATGGAGCCACCTGTGAGGGAGGTCAAGAACAGAAGGAAGCATGGAATGTGTGTGCTGGACCCGATTCCTACCCACATCTCTCCTCAGCTCCCATCCTCAGAGGCACGCCTGAAGGAACAGGTGACCCGAAGCGTCAGCTCCTCTAGACAGAAAGCACACAGGTGAACCCACATGTGGCATTCTAGGAAACGTTTTGAAATCACCACTCTGTGGCATTGCCCAGCCCAAAAGACAGGGAATGGGGCAGATGGAAGCATTTGTTGAGACTCTGTTACGTGCCTGGCATTGTTCTAGATGCTTGAGAGACATCAGTCTCAATTTGTAAAAATCTATTCTGGTGTTGAAATCACTGTATCAAAGAGCCATCTCATTCCTGTACTCCTTAATGCACTATGTACAACAGCAGAGATAGTCAACCTAAATATCTACCAATAGATGAATAAATAAAGAAAATGTGGTACACACACATGAGGAGATATTACTGAGCAACTGAAGAACACTGACATCCTGCCATTCGCGGCTACATGGATAGAACTAAAGGTCACATGAAGCCCAGCACAGAGACAAATATTTCATAAGCTTACCTACACATGGGACTTAAAAGAGTAGAACACAGAAGTAGAAAATAGAAAAGTGGTTACCCCAGGAGCTGGGGGTGGATTGGGACGATGGCGGTCCCAGGATCCAAAGCATCATTTAGGAGAAAAACATGGCTAAGATACTGTTATGGTTTGGATCTTGACTGTTCAAGAGCTTGGGTGTTGAAGGCCTGGTCCCTGGCTGGCCGCACTATCAGGAAGTGATGGAAACTGGATCACTGGGGTGCAACCTTGAAAGAGATACTGTTGGGGCCAGGGAAATGGCTCAGTGGAATAAGCACTTCCCTGGCAAGCACAAGGGCCTGCGTTCAGTCCTCAGTTCTG